CTGTCGCGACCGCTCACCCCGCCAGCCCCGTTAAGCTTCGTAGGGCCGGCAGGCGGAGGGCTGGAGAGAGACACCGGCGGGGGCGCGGGCGCGGGGAGCTGCGAGGTTCCAAGTCTTGCGACCTGCTCGGTCAAACTGCTGAACTCCAGATCAATGCGGGCAAACCGCGCGGAATGCCAGAGCAGTAAACAACATTTGAAGCCCACAGGACGTACACCCAAACCTTTAAATCGGGTCTTTTACAGCCATAGAGATACATAATTTTAGAAACCGCCGTCATCGCCGAACTAAAAATGTTCAGTCAAAGTTATTCTCAGATCACTAATTTCACATGCATCTTTTATACATTGTCTGCAAATGTTTAGCTTGGTAAAATATTTGCCGTGGTTCAACACGAATTTTCTTGTCTTGCTTAAAAGACACAATTACCGTCCCCTAAAATTTAATTATTTTCATACTTAAGGCAGATTTATTTTAAAACTCATCTGCAACTCCTTTCAATACTATACCAGTCTTTAAGTGCTTCAACCGATGGCAAACATTGGTTCAAATACAAATACTTGTGAGTAACACATTATTTTTCAAAGCACAGACTTTTTAACCCAATTAACCAATATCTCTATTCATGCAAATGGATGCTGTTACTCCCTGATTAAGGACTCAGAACTTTTGTTTACTTCATGCTTCCTAAAAATAAAACCAGTAACAGAAGTACAATCAAAGTTATCTTACATACACACTCCATACGTCCTTAGACACAGAGAGAAACAGCAAATTTAGATACCAAATACCAACCACGAAACAGTATTTTGGGCTATAGATCAGCAAAAGACATGTGTCAAGAATGGTACTGAAGGGTTTAGCGAACCAAGTCACTAGAAACTACAATGATTTAAATTCTTTTAGTTCCAAGGCAAACCACAGGCAAAATTTTAATAAGCTGCTCCTGGGTTAACATCTTGTATTTCAGCATAGCCTGGAGCAAATATTCAAGTCTGAATGACAAGTCTGTAGAAATATGAAGCAGCATAAAATGCAGCAGTGTAAGTGTGGTTTGCAGTAACGATGTGTGATAATTCCAAATTCTTCTATCGAAGGATTAAAGAAAAAAATTAAAATCAACTCCAATACCTCAGAACTGTAAGTGGCTGCGACAACAGATTTAATGACTAAATTTAGTCCCCGAGTACAGCTTTAAGCCATCACTATCCATACCACAGGCAGAACAATAGGAAGCAATTTTTATTCCTCCTCTTCCCACTCCTCCTGTGGGGGAGGAGAAGGAGAACAAACAACGGTGTGCACAGGCATGGCAGCAACCAGTACTTCTCCCTCCTCTCCCTGGGCCAGTTTGAGGCGGGCACCAGAGAAACAAAGGACCAAAACATCTTAAAATGGACGTCAGAAAGCCTCAAAGACACATTAGGTAAGCAAACATAAAGCCTAAAATTAAGTGGACCACAGAAACTACCTGCTGAGTGCATCCTGCGCGATAAGGTTTGAATATTGATAACTACTAAAGCTTCCAAACATTCCAGCGACCACTGAGGCACCTTGCTAACAGGTCAGATCCAGCTGATGTTACCAAAACGCACTGCCTATTACTGTGTGCACAGAGCACTGAACTCTGGTAGCAAGCACTCAGGTCAGCCAAATATTTCAGGTCTTGTACAAGAAATCCGGATAGTGCTAAGCAGGTAAGAGGTAACCGAAAAATCAATGGCAACCTCCGCTGGTTGGTTTTCAATGCAGGTAAAATGCTTCCCTTTTATAAATTACAATTAAAGGGACAAAGTGATTCAAAAGTAAGGCAGTTTGACTGCTTTCTTTGTGGAAATATGAGCAGGCTTCCTTCACTACCACAAAAAAACCAGTCATGCTGCAAGCTGCCAGTGGCTTTATCACCTCAGTTACTCCCAGAGCCCAACTCCCAGTGGCATTTTCTAAGCAGCAGCAGTGCAAACTGCAACAGATCAACTGCACTAACTTGTACTGTATTTTACGTATATTTGGAGGCAAGTGAAAATTTAAGCAGAAATCAGCTAGTCCTGACGAAACTATGCAATTACAGACAGAATTTTACATGATGTGGCAATACTGCAATGTTGTATCAGAGGCAGCACATTAAAAAAGCTATATGGAAAAAGTTTTCTATCTGTAAATTAGAGACACATTAGGGACTCTGGCATAGTTTTAAACTAAATGTGCTTCCGGACTTTTTTTTTTATTTGCACATAAACAAAAGGAAGTGAGAAAGAGAAAACAGTTGTATTGGAAGAATTTAATGGCTGTCACCAAGGCAGTGTTTTACGTGGTGCATAAATTCCATAGCTGGTTATGTCCAGCAGAAGGACTGAGCACTCTTCTTCAGATGAATAGAAGGAGCAATTCCACACCTTTTTTATCAATTACAGCAGCTAGAAACAACAGAAGTTACCATCCAAAACAGAAGACTCACACCATCTGATCCTGCTGAAAACAGAGGAGATGTGGTAGGAGCTCAAGCTTTGAGTATGAAAAGAAAGCCTGTGAAAGCAGCGGTGATGTGTGTGACCCTGTAAGGAAACGAGATAAAGCTTTGCAGACAGAAAACGTCCATACAGAGGTAGATTTAGAAGCTCCAAGCAAGGAAACAATCTATTACTCATTTCTTCTGTTTGGAAAGGAATATTTGTTTTCCAAATCATTTTTGTGAGGCAACAGGACTGACAGAAGCAATTCCTGCAATGCACAAAACAGCATCTCAGTC